AGGGGTGATGTGGTAGTGACGCGTCAAGATTAATAGGCTGCGATTTGAGGGCCCGGGTTTGAGTCCTGCCAGAGGTGATGATGAAATTTGGGCGAGGTCAAAAGCGCGGTTCAGTCTGGATACGAAGCAAGGCAATGCGAATTTCAACCAAAACGTGAGGCCTACTCATTAGATCGTTGAAAAATTCAACTATCAGTCCTTCATCACTTTTTGCAACCTAGGTTGAATAGAACACTTAATACTCCTTGCCACCATTATATCGTTACAGTTCACCGACGTATACCAAAATAGCAAAATATTGAACTATAAGTCTTTCGTTATACAGGCCAATAAGTGAAATAAAACCAGGATCCACACATAAGGCTTCCTGCTAAATCATTTGTCGTGAAAAGTTATTTAATAAGTGGTATTTGTGAAACATCCCATCGTTCGCCAAACAGATAGCTGCTCCACTTTGTTATGCTGCAAGGTAGCGTTTTATAAGGCCTTACGTTCTAATTCGTTTATGATAGATTAGTAATGATGGCGGAATTTTTTATATAGACAATCTGTCATAGTATCTGCTCTTGCATTAACACGTGGCTGATGCCGCATACATACACTATGACAAGTGACGATAAATGTTAACCTCAAATTTGGAATACTTTGAAAACTGCCGCAACTAAATCCCTTGGGGTGTATTCTGAAATCTCTTAAAACATTTAACTTCCTGATTTATGCAGTAAATTAGCAACGGGAGAAATATGCTGATTTATCTTTCTTTTTTTTGAAGGTATGAAGACCAAGGTGTTGTGGCCTTTTGTGTGGTAGCAGTCTCCTTTCGTTGTATAGAAGTTGTTTGACCTTGTTTTCGCAAATTAGTCATATTGGTTGGAAGACTTAGTTGCGCAAGTTGCGAAAACGTGGTCAAACAACTGCTATACAACGAAAGGAGACTGCGACTACACAAAAGGCCACACCATCTTGGTCTTCATACCTTCAAATAAACTATGGAAGTAAGATTGCCGAACAATGCACTAATCACAGCCGGACAGAGAAGACAATTTTAAGTCAATCCTGCCATTTGGCCTTTTTAAATTGTTGTAAAACATTATGGTATCGTTCCCCGTTTCTGCAATCTAATGAGGAAGTGTCGTTCAGACACAGTTAATGAAATACTTTATCACGCCTCCATCCAAAAATTAGAGGAAAGTTACGAGACTAAGAGGTGTAAGCTAATTAAGTTCATAGATCTCAAGTCTAAATTAAGGAAGGATCTAGGTAGGGTTTTCACTTTGGATGATTTTCAAAAACTGTAGAGCCTGACGGACCAGAAGTCGCAGAGGGTCCGAGATCTAATAAATAAGTGACATGACAAGAAATTGCTCAGCTATGGGATAATAAGACAGCGCAAGACCAAGCCAACCCAGGCAAATTTAGATGGTTCTCTATTGTAGGCATCAACTGGTACAGATTACGATAGGAGTAAGATAGTAAACCTATCTTGAATCCATCTTGATTCTGAAAACATGGATCTTTTAAAGAAAGGGTTACATTCTTCACCAGGTAATAAAGGAAATGCTCTTAGGGATATCCTGTGGGAAGTTGTCAACATAACGGATAAATATCGAGAAGATACAAGGCGAGATATGAACTGGAAATAATCCCACGGATCCTAACACATCAAGAACCGATAAAATGGAGCAGATTGGCTGGTATTCGAAACAAATTACAAATGAATGATTAAAAAGTTCTTCAGGTGGATAAGGGAGTAGTAACTGTTGTAATGGACAGGAAACAGTACACGAAGAAAATGGAAGATATCCTTGGCGACCGGAGCACTTATCAAATACTAAGCAAGGAAACAACCACAAAGATCAACGGTACACTAAAGAATATGCTCAGGAAATTCATAGTAATGGGGAAATTGATAGATGGATGACTAAATCTTTAATAAAAAATTACGCAAGACCACCGACAGCCTGCGGACTACTGAAGATACACAAGGAAGGCAATCCTCTAATACTAATAGTCAACAACAATGACAGACTCTCGAATACATAAAAATTCAAATGCATTTTCTCAAAGGATCCAGAACATTGGGTTGGTGGGGTCGGAACTGTTGGTGAGTTTCGATGTACAATCCATGTACACAAACAGCTCAGGCGAGAGGGCGGTAAGCGCCTTGCTGGAGATATTGGAGCGAGAAGAGGACATCCTGGAGGCAAAACGGATACGGAAAGAATCGTTAACACGACTGATCAACTTGACAGTAAGGACCACATATTTTACATCTAACGGCAGTATCTACGAGCAAATATTTGGACTACCGATGGGATTTCCACTCTCACCTCTTTTGGCAAATGTATACATGGACAAGTTGGAAAGGGAATTCGAGAAGTCAGCACTGCAACCAAGCGTGTTCATGTGATACTTGGATGACTACTTTGCACTTTGGTCACATGGTAAGCAAAATCTAAATGACAGCGTGGAGTGTGAAGGGTTTTCATGAATGCCGCTCGAAGGAGCACACCACACTACATCAAATAAGAACGGTAAAAAAATTGTGACAGGGAAGGCGTGATAGAAGGATATAGGAAATGTGAATAGCTCAGGGCAGAAGGGGAGATACCACAACTGTTTACCACACATTTGGTTAAAAGATGGGCTTCACTTGTCTCCTTGACGAGTTGTAATATGGTCCTACGAATGGCGAGACTTGCTGACGATGCCGACTAGGATGCCGGCGAAACGACTGGGAATGTACCACGTCCACGGTCCGACTTTGGAAATGATCATGCAGACAATGGACTTCGGACTAGCTGCCTTCCTCTAAGTCTTCCTACCAATATTACCAAGTAGCGAAGACAGGGTCAAACAACTTTTATCTTTCGTTTAGTTTAAAAGGTGTATGGAGGGAAGGCGAAGGTAAGACTTTTCATGCTTTAGGGCTTAGTTAATGAGCATAAGACTTGCGTCCTGCTCTGACGATGTCAGTCACAGTGGGGCAGAGGAAAGCTCAAAATGGATTCAGCGGTGTCGCGGAATGCTGCGTTTAGTACTTATTTGAAAAAATTTGCAAATCTATATGGAACACCTCCTTCAGCAGCCGGTAAGGTCAATTTACGAATACTTCCATTTGGCCTCTTCAAACAAAGGGAAAGTTATTCTTCGCAAACCAACTTTCCTTCATTTATAAGGCAATAATTTTATTTCAAGAAGTTATCAGTATTGATATTAAGATCCTAACTAAAGTCTTTTAAAAACTTTTCCATTAAAGTACCTTCCGGAAAAATATCTCAAAATTATAATATTGTGCTGCCTGATTGACGAAAAATTTCCAGCCGAGTTTTCTCAGGACATTACCTAGGCGTGCGTGTGTGCAAGCTTTCATACATAGCCATATTTTCAAACTGCTCAAAATATTTAGGAACCATAGTATAACTTTTCTTGACGGACGTTCATCTCCCTTGGCACTTCACCAAGGAGCAGTAAATCCATGTTGAACTGCACCTTGTTTACCATGCCGAGAAATGAACATGAGCTCAATTTTGAGTCTCGTACGTGCAAAATCCCTTCGCTGCATGTTGACTTGACGACCTCAATTACAATTAATCACAGAAAATCAATGAGGCATAGAGAGATAAAGATCCAGTCATAGATACATAAAATATGAAAATTTTGAGAATTCCAAGCAAAGTGAGAGATAAAGTAAGCAATAAGATTTGAGTAAATTAATTTCTCTTGAACTTTATTATCTTATCAAACGACTATTGGAACGTGCAAAAATGAAACCCCTCTGTTTAGCTTTCTCCTGTAGCGACTCGTAAATATTTCATCGAGCATTAAATCAGAACAAGTTATTAAACTTCATTTATAATGAATTACTTGGGAAATTGGTAAAATGGTCTTATTTCCAAAATACATTCGCAAAGTGAGAAGAATAAATAACTCTCTCAATTACTCACCAAACGCTGCCGTAATGACAATAACAATTTGGAATTTAATTTATTTCGTTAAATAAGCGTCTTAAAAGCCAATGTCACCAAAACTTTTTTGTATGATAATACTGAAGAGGAAATTAGTCAAAGCGAAGATCCTCATCCCAAATGAGGGACTGAGTGCTGAGAAAGAGGCTATGAAGATAGCAAAGGCCCGAAATTTCCCCATATATTACTGGTGGTGATGAAGT